GGGACTTGTTCACATTTACACACAAGTCTGTTCTGTGGTGCTTATCTGGGCCTGTTGCACTGCTGGGAGGCTGGGCCGGGCTGTTACCTCATCGTGCTGACAGGGAACGAGTCGATGAAGCGACTTGCCCACGTCACACAGGGAGTCGGCGACAGAGCCAGGAATCGACCCCAGCTCTTCTGATTGCCAGGCGCTAACCACTGGGTCCCCATCCTCTGCTGTCTCAGGCTCCCAACCCAGCAAATTCTCCCTCCTGGCTCCCCGGGTCTTACCCCACCCAGCAGCCGGCCTGAGCCCTCTGAGAGCCAAGGCTTCCTCCACAGCCCCGGGCAGCAATTCAGCCTCACTTTGCTGATGGGGAAACTGAGGCCAAGGGAAGTGGGGACTTGTCTGGGGTCACACAGGAGATCCTGGCACCCAGGCAGCTGTGCAAGCCACTCCTCTCTCCTAGGAATCCTGGCTGTGGGGCGGCATCCCAGGCGACGTCCCTGCTGCGCTCAGTCTGGGTGCAGGCCCCAGGTGGGCGTCCCTGGCTCAGTGGCTCCCTCATGGCAGCGCGTGGCGTGCGATCAACCAGGCCGCCAAACGCCAGGGAGCGGGGAAGCTGCGGTGGAAGTGGTGGAATACACGGAGCGGGCAGATGCTGGGGGGCGAGGCAGCAGGACGGATGAACCAGCTGAGGGTTTCTGGCCTGGCCAGGCTGTTGGGGGCAGAGAACTGGAGGGCCAGGCCAGGAGGCCGGGGAGCAGGCCACAGCGGGGGGCAGCGCTGAGGGGAAAAGAGGCAAGCCGGCTTAGGCACAAATTGGGCTATACACAAGTATATGGGGTAGCCTGCAGGTGCCTTGCAGGGAGCGGGTGCCCCCGGGTACCCAATGCTCTCAATAGCTGCGATGTGCTGGGTGCAGGGCCGGGGTGGGGTGGAGGGGGGACACCGAGTATGCCCAGCTTTCCCCTTTGGAAGGGGGACGCTGAGTGAGTGGCAGATCGTTGGGAACGTGGGGCCTAGAAAAGGGAGCGGGGAGGGGAGTTGTCCCTGCAACGTCCTAAGATGTGCTGCAGGGAGCGGGAGGGAGGTGCCCCAGGGAAGGGACTGGTTCCTGGATCCCATCCCTGCTGGCCACAGAGGGCAGTGCAGGGATTACAGTCCGCAGGGTAGACGCTGGGGACAGCATGCGTCCCATGCCTCCCGGCTGCGCCCCACCACGCAGCACCCTACGCAGCTGTCCGGGGGCCGTTTTGGGGAGGGAGGTCACTTGGGAACGCCAGTCCCACTGCAAGCCAACCGGCTCATGCGCCGAAGCCCCCTGTTTGCTCCTGCCCCAGGTCTGCGCCGTGGCGTTCCTAAGGGAAGGCGTGAAGCGGTGCAGGTGAGTGGGGTTGGGAGGTGCTGGCTGGGTGCGCCCTGGCTGTTTGTGGGCTGGAGTTTGCTGCGGAGGTGAGGAGTGCATGGGGGTCACGATGGCTGGGTGCTGGAGCATGCGACCTGGGTGAATACGCCGTGGCTTTGCTGGAAAAGCATTCCAGCCGACTTGACTGAGATATAGCTATCTCCTAGAGCTGGAAGGGACCCTGGAAAGGTCATCGAGTCCAGCCCCCTGCCTTCACTAGCAGGACCAAGTACTGATTTTGCCCCAGATCCCTAAGTGGCCCCCTCAAGGATTGAACTCACAACCCTGGGTTTAGCAGGGGAACGCTCAAACCACCGAGCTATCCCTCCCCCTTCCCTCCTGCGAGGGAGCCCGGTTTTCCCCAGGTGTTTCGATGTGTGTTACAGCGCAGGGAGTTACTGACCTCACTAGCTATCCCCCCCTCCATGCAGATCCAGCCCACCTCTAGCTCTCTGCACAGCAAGTCACTCCCATGGCCCCCCAGATGTCTCCCCTACACCGCCAGATTGCCCGTCCCCCCACTGCCCTGCCCCCGGGCCTCAGTCTTGAAATGGGTATTTTTCAAAGCAGTTGCAGATAAATGTCTATAAGCAAAATAGGGCGGGGGGGCGGGCGTGATGGGAGCACGGCTGTAGGGGGGTGATGGGAGGAAGTGGCACGTGAGCGGAGGGGGCGCAGTTCACACAGGAACTCCTGTCTAACAAGCTGCCTACAAAGTTACAAGCAACCGCCATGGGAGCCTTTACTCCTGTCACCAAGGTGCAGTCACCTCTGGGGTGGAGCACAGCCGCAGTGCACAGGAAAACCAGGTCGCAGTTCAGGACAGGGGGTGGAGCAGAATAATATACCCAAGGGCAGCAGAACGGGGTATTTGGAGAGGCAGAATGCAGGGTTCACAACCCTGTCCTTGCATAAAGGGCCCTCTGCAATCAGGACGCTTGGCCTTACATCTCTGAAAGGGGGCACCCTGCTGGGGCATTGGCTCAGTACTGACTGGAGGGAAGAGCGCCCCCTGCCAGTTTTCTCCGACACACCGCCCCCTGCGTTTTCCTTGGACATCTTCCATCGGAGCCTTGGGCCCTTGGTAACTTGAACGATCCCACGAGATCGTAGCCTGGAAAATGGGCCGCGAGGCTGAGTACCAGGCCAGAGCAAGCACTTGCTGCCGAACCTTTCCCACCTTCTAACAGCAAGGAGATTGGAGCCTGTGCTGGGCCAGCCGCCTATCAGCCTCCTCCAGATCTGCTCGTGACGCTTCCTGGCCGGGCCCCCGTGCTCTGCCACCGCCTGATGAATGGGCATCTGTCTTCTCACTATCATTCCCAGTGGCATGTGATGGCAGTAGGCGATTATCTCCCTTCCGCCCCTGGCCAGAATCTTATCAGCACTAGCTACAGCTTCTGAGCGTGCCTAGTGATAATACCGCGTGTCTAGGGGGCAGGGCTGGGCGTTGTGGGCTCTGTTCCTGGAGCTCCCGCTCCCGCCTCCTGTAACGTTGACCATGCCAAACGGGGCTAATGAGACTTTTGTAAAGTGCTTTGAGATCTATGGAGGGGAAAGTGTTTAAATTCTTTTTTTTTAATATCAGGGTTAGATGGGACCTCAGGAGGTATCTAGTCCAACCTGCTCAAAGCAGGACCAATCCTCAGACAGATTTTTACCCCAGTTCCCTAAATGGCCCCCTCAAGGGTTGAACTCACAACTGTGGGTTCAGCAGGCCAATGCTCAAACCACTGAACTATCCCTCCCCCCCAAGTGGTTACGCCAGTGCTAGCTTTTCAGCCACACAGGCTAGCTCAGTGAGGGGGAGGGATAGCTCAGTGGTTTGAGCATTGGCCTGCTAAACCCAGGGTTGTGAGTTCAATCCTTGAGGGGGCCACTTGGGGTTCTGGGGCAAAATCAGTACTTGGTCCTGCTAGTGAAGGCAGGGGGCTGGACTCAATGACTTTGCAGGGTCTGTTCTAGGAGATAGGTATATATTATTATTTTCTTCAGGGCTGGGAAAGGGACTCCCAGCATCCCAGCTAAATGCAAGGTGGAATGGCGTTGATTAGCATAAGTAGTTAGCACATATTGGAAGGGCCCATTCAAGGTAGAGTGGCCCGTTATCACCTCTGCAGTCACGGCACAAAAAGAGGGGGTGAGTGGGTTACAGATCGTTGTAGTAAGCCACATATCCAGTGTCTCTGCTCAGACCATGAGTTTCCGTGTCTAGCAGAGTTTAAGCTCCCAGGCTCTTCTTCTGAAAGTGTTGTGCAGGTTTCCTTTGAGGATGAGGACGGATATTTGCCCATCGCTGTAATGCAGCCACTTCTAGGGTGGAACGTGGCAGCTGCTTAGCAGTGCACTGCCCCACACAACAGCTCTTCCAGGCAGGAAGGGAAGCAGATCCTATATTTAAGTGAAACTGCACAGAGAATGTAAGGGAGGCCTAATGCAATCACAGGCATTGGGATTTGGCCAGATAAGCAGCGCTAACACAGTTATTACTGGTCATGAACGTACAGGACATCCGGCATTGTCTTTTGTTATCTTCTGCTCTTTCCAGCTGTTTGGTGTAATACCCCACCTATTGTCGCCTGTCTGAGACTTAGATTACAAGCTCTCTGGGGAAAGAGACCATCTGTCTATGCAGCGCCTTGCACGATGGGGCCATGGCTCCTGACTGAGCACACCTAGGCACTCCCGCAACACAAATCAGTGACTTCAGTTGTGTGTCTCCTCTAAGCCCCAGCCCCTGTCTGTGTGCCCCTCCCCGTGGCATCAGAGTGCTGGTTCAGTCCTGACTCAGTCACCAGCAGGGCTTGCCCTGGAGGCCTCCTGTCCTAGCGAACACATGGCCTCTGGAGACGCCAGCTGCTGGTGCAGATAGGGCCTAAGCTGGCCCTGGTGTGAATGGAGTGAGGCTCAGGACGCTTGGGGCTGCCAATGGATGGAAGTGATGTGTGCTGGAGAGAAGTGGGGCTGGGGCGCCGGAACCGGGGGGGCGGGGGACTGACATACCAGCCGTAAGGGCAAGACATGGGGAGAAAGGATGGAGAGGAATGAGTGGGGGGCGGGGCCTTGAGGGAAGAGACGGTGCGAAGGTGGGGCTCAGGGACAAGGGGTGGTGCAGGGGTGGGGGCTCGGGGAGAAGGGGCGGCGTGGGGGCAGGGGCTCGGGGAGAAGGGGCGGTATGAGGGTGTGGGCTCAGGGAGAAGGGGTGGCGCTGGGGCTCAGGGGGAAGAGGCTGCGTGGGAGGGCAGGGGCGGTGCGGAGGGGGCAGGGTCACGTTTCGGATGTCGGTGGCCGGGCCCCCCACACACACTTTTAGGGAGCTTTTGTCACCCCCAACTTGGTCATGCCTCAGTGCGGGGGGGCGGACGAGATGACCTTCCAGCCCTACATCGCTGTGATTGTAGGTCTAAGTGGAGGACCCTGGGTGGGAGCAGGAGGCTGGTGAAATGGCAGCTGCACTTACTTGTCTTCCATCCATCCCAGATTCTTGAGGCCGGAAGGGGCCCTTGTGATCACCTACCCCGAGCCCCCGGGCGTAGCGCAGGCCAGAGCCCGTCCCCAGCACGTCCTGCACCGAGCACGCTCTCATTGACTCTGTCTCCTCCCCCTCCAGGTTGCTGAAGTGGAGCCCAGGGAACGTGAGCCGGGATGCAGAGCATAAAGTGCGTGGTGGTGGGTGATGGGGCGGTGGGGAAGACCTGCCTCTTGATCTGCTACACCACCAACGCCTTCCCCAAGGAGTACATCCCCACCGTCTTCGACAACTACAGCGCCCAGAACACAGTGGACGGCAGGACTATTAACTTAAATCTGTGGGACACGGCAGGCCAGGAGGAGTACGACCGGCTCCGGACGCTTTCCTACCCCCAGACTAACGTCTTCATCATCTGCTTCTCCATAGCCAGCCCGTCCTCCTACGAGAACGTGAAACACAAGTGGTACCCGGAGGTCTGCCACCACTGCCCCAACGTGCCCATCCTCCTCGTGGGCACCAAGAAGGATCTGAGAAACAACCCCGACACCATAAAGAAGCTAAAGGAGCAGAACCAGATGCCCGTCACCACCCAGCAGGGGGTCAACCTCTCCAAGCAGATCCACGCCGTCAAGTACATGGAGTGCTCCGCCCTCAACCAGGAAGGCATCAAGGAGGTCTTCACGGAGGCTGTGCGAGCCGTCCTCAACCCCGCCCCAGTGAAACCTAAAAAGCCCTGCATCCTTTTGTGAAGAGGACTCCAGAAACCAAAGCGTGCAGCTGGGCTTGGTGGCCGCTTGGGGTGGGGGAGGGTGCCTTAGAACCCGGAGACGATCCTGCCCTTGTCCCTCTGCTCCCAGTGAAGCTAGTATGTACAGCCCTTCTCTCTCCAGATGCTTCCCAGCTGTCTGTCCCAGGACACGGCAAGGGACATCCTGCCTCCATTGCACCCAGCATGCCCCAACCCCACTCCCCAAGCCTTGCATCCTTCCAGTGAAGGTGCGATTGGACAGCTGGATGCCACGAAACCAAGGCTGTTCTCGATAATAATAAACCACGTTTGCACTAATACGTAGATTGTCTTGGATCACATTTTTTGGGGGGGAGGGGTAACCCTGATATGTCATTAGATGGTTTCCCCTCCCCTTTGATGTGACCCCAAGGAGTCCCTGGTCCCATCATGTTCTCGGGACCTGGGTACGTAGCTCACTTGGGGATGAATGGCTTCCACTTCTTGGTCAGCCATTCAGATGGCCACTAAAATGAAATCGCTGCACTGCAAACCCCTGTCCTGAGAAGCGAGTGCTCGGACGGCATCTGCAACCACTTGCGCCACCTCCTTGGCCTTTGGTCCTCCAAACCCATCAGTTACAGGGATGGAAGGAAACCAGGAACCTTGCTCAGTGCTAAAACACGCCCGCCCTCCAGGAGCTGTGGCTGCTTTGGTTGTTTGATGGGCCACTGAGCCGTCCTGCACAGCCGACAGAACTGGAGTAATGGCTGAATTACAGGTTGAAGCTCATCGGCTGCCAAAGAAGCAAGTGCCTTGGGGTCCCTTTGTCACATTGAAGACCTGCTTGTGTTTCCACGGGATTGACTTTTGATTTGCCGGGCGAAGGAAATTATAGAAACTTTTTCTGATTGTCTTCTCCTGGCTTCCTCAACATTCCTTCTTCTCTGAGTCCCACACAGCCCTTCGCTGATAGAGACCACCTGGCCACACGGCATGTTTGGAAAGGCTACCCCTGCATGAAGATGCTTTTGACAAATCCCACCTGTTTACCAAGAGAAGGCATTTGTGCTTACATGGGGGCGGGGCCTGTACTTCTGTTTTTTTTTCTATGGAGTTTTTGTGTTCTGAGATGGCCCCATTTGCAGAGACACATTTACAGAGCCGGAGGCTACAACCGCGCTGGCTACACACATCCTCTTCCACGGCTAGAATAAGGCGGCCTGCACCTCCCCACGCGGGTCACCTCTTTACAAAGAGCACCACGCTTGGCTGAGCACAGGTGCATTTTGCTGCTTGCATTAAGATCATGGACCGGTTCCTCCTCCCGCACCCAGCCACCTCTTTTAACAAGACCACGTGTCTTCTTCCTGGGGACCAGACCTGCACAAACTGCTTCAGAAACTACCTACTCTACTGGTCTCCTGCTTAATGAGCTACAGCCTAGTCACCTAGTGGTTATTTGAAATGGGCAGTGCTGTGAAGACCACGTGCCCAGCAGGGTGATCTTGAAGACTTCAGTGAAGGCCTTCAGGGAAGTGTCTCTCCTCCTTCTTGTCCTGTTTCCCTCAGCTGCCCTTTGACTCCTGCTGCATCACAGCACAGCTTGTCCCAACTGAAACCTCTGCACAGTACAGCCTGAATCATGGTGCTTGGTCCTGCCCTGCGTGCAGGGGACTGGACTAGAAGACCTTGCGAGGTCCCTTCCAGTCCTACCATTCTATGTTTCTATGATCATCTCGCTGCTCCACGTTCTGATTCAAGCTCAGCACTCAGACCTGGCCCATTGATCCAGCAGAGGCAAAGAATTGTCACCAAATGTCGCTAAAAGGAAAAGAGCCTCAGGGGGGTAGGAAGGGGGTAGGAAGGTTTCATCCCACTGATATTAAATGGCATGGTAGCAAAAGGCAGAGTGGAGGTGATTTTCTTTTTCGGAGATTGCAACAGAACGCTGGGAAGAGGGAGCAGCTCATGGGACAGCCTGGAACTCCATGGGTCTCTCTAGGCACCAGGGTCTGTCTCCCCTCATCCCTCCCACCACATCTTTCTTGCCTTTGCAACACTCACAGCTGACTGCCTGACCAGGGCGGGTGGAGGGGGCAGCGCAGCTCGTTGGCCCCGGTGATGGCTGAATAAAGATGCAAGAAAGTACTGCCCAGCAGCATGTCCCGTGAGATCCTGACCGGGAGGGCCTGTCCCCTTTAGTTAGTGAGGTCAGATAAGGAAGCTGAGACCAGTGGGAATGTCCTGCGATGGTAGGGAAGCACTATCAAAATGCAAGCGGTCTGCTCCCTCTTTCACCCGGGGTCAAGCAGCCGCTGTGAGCCGAGGGCTCCCGTCCTGCTAGGCTGCAGCCCTCTCCGTTGAATGCAGAGGAGAGGTTCTGGTGGAAGGGTGTTCATTGCACGTGCCACAGCGGAGAATTCGGGTGGTGCTGGTGGTGGGTTTCCACTAAATTTCTGCCCCCTTCCGTAGTGCGAAGCGGCGAATAATTAGCCCCATCCAGCTAACGCAGCACTGATGAGTATCCGGCGGGCTTAGCCAGCCTTGCCATCGATAGCGGCTGGAGGCCTGGGCGGTGTTATCTGTGCTGAGCCCGATTCAGCCATGGATGTCGATGACGTTCCAGCAGGGGTGGAGCTGGCACGATGGGCCGTTCTCCTTTCACTGCAGATTCCAGAAGCTGGGGCCCCTGGTTCAAATCCCTGGGCAGGTCTTCCCAGAAACCAGCGTTTGCTCTGAAACCATCTCAGTAAATGTCTTCCACCACGAAGGGTGAGGTGCTGCCAAGGAAACCTCCATCTCTCTCTCCAGGCAGACTGCTGGTGGGACCCAAAGACTTTGTGTGTGACCGCGATGAGTCAGCGCACAGGGCGATAACTTCAGAAGAGAAAGTAGCTCGTAATAGCACTGAGCTTAGAATGCCAGCCTTCTGCTCCACCCCTGGAGAACGCGCCCCCTAGGGTGACCAGATGTCCTGATTTTATAGGGACAGTCCCGATATTCGGGGCTTTGTCTTATATAGGTGCCTATTACCCCCACCCCCGTCCCGATTTTTCACACTTGCTGTCTGGTCACCCTAGCGCCCCTTGAGCTAAAGGAGAATCCAGGTTAGCAGGCTGAGCATCGGCGCTCGTGCGCTCCGTAGGCTGCAGCCTCTAGAGGGTGACATGGCCAAAGATGCTTGAGCAGGTCCCAGGCCGCCCAGCAGAGGGGCGATGGCAGGGCAGATACAATCCGCGCACTGCACAGCATATAGAGTAGCCGACAGGTCCCAGGAAATTAGCCCAAACGAGGTGGACATCGCCTCTGTGGGAGCTGCCTTTGCTGGCTAACATACCAGTGTGAAAGGCAAGTGCGCGCTTTGAGCTGGGGGAGCCGAGGAAAGGAGCTGACTCTCGAAAGCAATCTAACATATGGTGTATACAACCCAGCCGGCAGCAATGTCTGAGGGGGGGCTGGGAGCAAAGCCCCGTTCCAGTCCCAGCGCCCTCGCTGGTTTTCCCGCCGGCTCCGGCAATCCGGTGCCACCTCTTTATTTCTGCTGACGTGTCTTTAAGGGCAATTCTGTCTCTGTTTTTAATACTTTTGTGAAACCGGAGCCTGGGTTGTAAATGAATCCCGCGTTGTACGGAGAAGAGAGTTGGGTCCTGTGGGATCTGCTTATTAAAAAGGAACTAGAAACAATAGGGACTTACTGCCAGGAGGTCCTCGCGGAGTTGCTTTAATAAATAGAATATGTCAAGGCTCCCTGTGTCTCCTGGGCTCTGCTTTCTAACCCTCCGGGCGGGGAGTGTCTCAGCAGCTGGGGAAGGGATGGTCCTAACAGCTACTTGGATGAGACACAAGTGGACTGTCCAGTTTCTTGTGAGCTCTGTCCACGGCTCTTATGTCGCACCCATCCCCGGGGTATCGGAGCCCCCATTTAGATGATCATGATGGTCCCTTCTGACCTTAAAATCTATGAATCTCCCCAGGAGAGGCCTCTCCCCGTGTGTGGCTCCAGCCGGGAGATGGGCTGGGATACTCTTGCCTATGGTCCCTAGATCTGAGCAGCTGGGGCCAGGGCGATCTCAGGGGAGACTTCCCTGCCCTGGGATGTGCTGCCCCCGCTGCTCTGACAGCCACGTCCGGTGAGTGTGCAAGGCCCAGCGACCCTCTCCGGCCCCTGCCCGTGGGGGTTCGCTGTCAGACCGGCCCTCGAGCCTATATTGGGCACAGTCTTTATGCTGACAGAGTTGCTGTGTTTCGGGGTCTGAGTGCTGTGTACAGGCCCACGGGGGTCTTGCAGCAAAACCTGTTCGCAAGGCCCTATCTCCAACACTTACAATGGGCCTGGGTCCCCGATCCTGTGGGGCGCTGAGCTCCTGTCGACGAAAGTGCAAAGGCAATTGTGCACGGAGGATGCTGGAGGCAGACAGACCCTGGCGTGCTTTTTATCCCAGGCTCTGCTGCCTGTGGTCCCCGCATGGGCTCTCCCCGAGCCACAGCTGACTTCACCACAGGGCAGTGCCAGGCTGGCTCAACGGAGCCGCCGGCGAGTGGGATTACAATCAAGGCTGGGCAAGATTGGCACACCCGCTACTGCCTGGCGGAGTGACCTTGGCCAAGTCCCTTAGCCCCTGTGAGTAACTCCTCCGCCAGCACAGGGCGCGGGAGGGTTAATTCCTCTCTGAAAGTGCAGTGAGGGGCGCCACAGTTATGGCTGGGGGTTCCCCTCGCTCCCTGGAGCTGCTCCCTGCTCCCCTCCCCCGCCAGAGGACGGAGCAGCCTTGGCTGGCTCTTTTCACACACAAGAATTTAATCCGTCCCAGCCCCGCTTGGAATGCCTGGCTCAGCCTTCCCCACCCCC